ATGATGTAGAAATTATTTTGAGCAGCAATGTTCATATTGACAAATCACCGGAGTATAGGTAAATAAATTATTTATTGCAAATTAATTATCAAAAAGAGAAAGAAATGAAACTAAATTAGTAAACGTCTATCATTTTTTAAATTTTTACAACAAATAAATTACTAAGAATACATTTTTAAAAAAATTGCAACAATAACTTTTTGACACATCTACAAGTGGAATTTTTCAATATAAAAAAAAAATTTTTTTTAACTTGCACTTGTATTTCATTTAAATTTTTAAGTATGAAATTTTTTTATTAAAATTTTCATGACACTGAAATTAGCAAACATCTAACTAGTTTTATGACTCTTCTTATTAAAAAAATGATTACAAAAAATTAAAAATAAATATTCTACCTGTAGAAAATTAAAAAAACTATAACTGCAATTTTTTAAAAATATTTTTTCAGTTCTAATTTAATTAATTAATGAAGAAAATCAAAAAATGTTTAAACATCTGCTTACATCAGTATCATAAAATTTTTCATGAAAATTAAGTAAGCTGAAATAAAAAAATAAAAAAATTTTTTTTATTGAAAAAATTTTCACAAAAAAATAAAAAAAAATTTTCATTTCTAAAAAACTTGAAAAACTATTAGTGCAATTTTTTAAAAATATTTTTTCAGTTCTAATTTAATTAATAAAAAATCCCAAAAATTGACAGATTATAAATTTATATTAATAAAGTTAGCCGACATTTTTGATTTTGCTCAATTTATTAAATTAGAACTAAAATACATTTGTAAAAAATTTCACTTATAATTTTTGAAGTTTTTTACAAATGAAAAAATTTTTGTAATAAAAAAAATTATAAAAATTTTTAGATGTCGGCTAACTTTATTTTCATATAATTTTTTATTACTCTAACCCTGACCTTCAAATTTACCGAATTAAGATTTTTCAAACCATGGTTGGGTGAAGGATTGTTAATAAGTGGAGGTGAAAAATGGCGAACTCACCGTAAAATAATAGCCCCAACATTCCACTTGAACGTGCTGAAGACATTCGTTCCGCTGTTCTACGAAAACAGTATCGATTTGGTGAAAAGATTGAAGTCTGAAGTGGGAAAGGAATTTGACGTCCACGATTACTTGTCAGCTGTGACAGTAGACATTTTGATTAACACTGCGATGGGAGTTAGGGGCAAGAAAAGGGAAAACACTGGCTTTGACTATGCAATGGCTGTCATGGAGTAGGTTGAATTTTTATTTTTCTATTACCATTGGTTCTAGATCATTGATTATTAATTATTGATCAATGATTGATTTTTCCAGCTTATGCAACATCGTTCACCAGCGACAGTACAACATAATGCTTCGCATTGACCAATTGTTCAAATTCTCAAAATACGCTAGCCAGCAAGAAAAGCTTCTCAACACAATCCACACACTGACAGGGGGAGTTATCAAGAAAAAGAAGCAAGAGTACGCAGAAAAAGGCGAACTTGCGTACCCTGAAGAATTCCGTAAGATTTCAAACAACAACACCAGCAACAATACATCAAAAGTTGAAATCGAGAAGATAAACGAGTCAAAAATGCGATACGCTCGCGACGATTTGGACGAAATTGATGAAAACGATGTCGGTGAGTTTTCTTTTAATCAATGAAAAGATAAATTACGGGATTAAGGTAGTTGTCGTGGTTAAGGCATACCGTCGGAAAATTCTAAATTTTTGTATACTTATTAAGGACATGATGATACGATTACCCTTAAGGAGGTATTGCGGCAAGAAAAAGACACCAATAGGTTATGGCAATTGATTTCTTTCTCACACACTAGTGCGGCTTCTCTTTACAGACTATCGTTCACTTACTTCCACACGCAGAAAAAAATTTTGTTAAGATAACCTAAGATATGTTGTGGTAACAAATGAATTTGTTAACATAGGGATAACAAATCATATGTTAAAATAACAAAATTTTGGTTATAACAAGTTATTGATATGTTATAACAACAAATTAGTTTTGTTACTATAGCAAAATCTTTTAGTTGATTCGACAAAATACTTTAGTTGGTATAACAAATTTTTTTGTTGAAACAGCAAAATTATTCTATTAAAATAACCAAGAGAATTTGTTGGATTAACAAAGACAATTTGTTGAAGTAATAAAGTGAATTTGTAAAAATAACAATGAGAATTTGTTGGAATAACAAATAAATTTGTTACAGTAAATTTTATATGTATACATTTAAAAAGCAACAAATTAGTTTTGTTATTGCAATAAAACCACTTTGTTACAGCAGCAAAATCACTTGGTAATAGCAACAAAGTCATTTTGTGATAGCAACAAAATAATTTTGTTAGAGAAACAAATTTATTTTGTGATTTAACAAACTGGTTTGTTAGTACAACTTGAAATTTTTTGTTAATGCAACTAATGGATTTGTTGCTATAAACATACTCATTTGTTACCAGGACATATTTTTCAGTTATCCCGTCTTTTGTTATTTCAACAAAATCGTTTTATGCGTGCACTCACGTAAAATATCGAAAGTCACTAATTTCAAACATTTCTTATTAAAAACTGAATACCGCTCGTTTGTGTTATTTTTGATCAAAAATACTTGTTATAGCTTCAATTAAATATTCTCAGTTTTTCAAAAAAATTCTAAGAAAAATATGGTTGTTATTCAATAAAATGTTCACTCTAACTGAGGTCAGGATAGAGAATACATGTTAAATGTACGATTTTTAATTGCTAGTATTTCGAAAATTAGCACCGCAAGGACTATTAAAAAAAATTTATTCGTATAGAGGACACTTAAAAGTACGCGTATTCAAAAAATGAAGAATATTGTAAGAAAAGTGATTTTGCACAGTACCTCCTTAAAATTTGAAGTCGATTGACCACCTATAACCCGAGATGAATTTTTTTTATATCTTAAAAATATTTATAATTAAGAAATTACACTGTATCTCGTCACCTAATGATATTTTTCAAGATATAAGCTCATCCTGATGTTACCCTTATCGAGACGTTTCATTTAAATACCCACATGAATTTTTTATATATTTTATATACTTTACAAATATCAGAAATATCATATATATAAAATATATAAAAAATGCATGTGAGTACTCAAATGAAAGGTCTCGATGAGGGTAACATCAGGATGAGCTTATATCTTTAAAAATATTAATAATTGAACAATTACATTGCATCTTGTCACCTAATGATAATATTAAAGATTTAAGGTAGTTGTCGTGGTTACGGCATAGCGTCAAAAAATTCTAAATTTTTGTATACTTATTAAGGATATGGTGATACAATTACCCTAAAAATTTAAAGTCGATTGACCACCTATAACCCAAGATGAATTCCATTAAAAATTGGATATTTAACATTGATTGCATACGCTCTTCGAGTTCTGTACCAGTTTCTTAGTTTCTAAAAAAAACTAACTGTCAGAAACTTTCAAAAAATTGACAGTCTTTTAATGTATTTGTTGTGAGTTTAAAAAAAAATAAAAAAAAATTTTTGACTGTCTAATTATTTATAAATAACGGATTAAAGTTCAACAATTTATGAAAAAGTATATATCCACGGAGTCGAACAGAAACAATTGAATGGGTTACAATCTTGCGTAAAAATTATGGATTACTTAGCTACTAGCTCATATAATTTTACGGCGCGTATAATCTCTAATTTTTTGACAATATTGTACCACGACAACTACCTTAATTAAATTGAATCATTAGAATAATTTGAACTTGAATAATTTTAGGGGAAAAAAGAAGACTAGCATTTTTGGACCTGCTTCTTGAATTGAACAGAAACGGGTCAACTCTAACTGAAGAAGAAGTCCGTGAAGAAGTCGACACAATTATGTTCGAGGTGTTAATTTATTTATTTATAATAATGCAATTATGATTAAGTCATTCTCATTTGAATAGTGATTATCAATTCATCAACTAAAGTAGCTCTCAACATTATAATAGATGCAAATTATTCCAGGGTCACGATACCACTGCCGCTGGTTCTAGCTTCACGTTATGCGTCTTGGGAGTCCACAAAGATATTCAAGTATGATTGATTTGAATTAGATGTTAACTAATACGGTTTTGTTTGATTAATTGAGCATTTATGATAAAATGTTTAATGTTTTTGCAGGACAGAGTTTATGAAGAGTTGAACGAGATTTTCAAGGGCTCCGACCGACCATGCACGTTTCAAGATACTTTGGAGATGAAGTATCTTGAAAGGGTGATCATGGAGTCGCTGAGAATGTTCCCGCCTGTTCCTGCGATTGCGAGGGAGCTAAAACAAGATGTTAAGATTGGTAATTGGCAATCATAGAGTAAAATTTTAGATTTAAGAATATTTTTAAGTTTTTTTAATTTGGTAAATTTGTTTGTATAGCGACTGGAGGTTATGTTTTACCACGTGGAAGTACGGTAATTGTGCCGCCATACCAGATTCACCGTCTAGAGGAGTATTATCCAGACCCAGAAGTGTTTAACCCAGACAGATTTTTACCTGAACATACTCAAAATCGGCATTACTATGCCTACGTACCTTTCAGTGCTGGCCCAAGGTAATTTTCATCCATTTTTCACGGTTAAGTGGTTCAATCTAGTTAAAGATGGAAGTATTTGAATAAACTAACCTAATAAACTGAATAATTGCAGGTCATGCGTCGGAAGAAAGTACGCGATGTTGAAATTAAAAGTTTTAATATCAACAATAATCCGAAATTACCGGATCCACTCGAATTTGACGGAGAAAGATTTCAAACTGCAATTAGACATAATACTGAAGCGGACAGATGGCTTCAAAATTGAAATCGAGCCGAGAAATAAGTCGACCGCAACTGCATAATTATTACGCACTCATACTTTCATTCACTGTTCACTATTGCAATACAGCCCATGTACTACTCATAAGATATTTTTAAATAAAAATAAAGACCAAAGAAAATATTATAAAAATTATCAACTATTTTAATGTACATCCAATTAAGCTATCACGTGATTGTCGGCATTTATGTTGCCGGTAGTATTAACAACTCTGTTTCTTCTTTTCTGCCGATAGTCCACCAGAAACTCCAACGCCCAGGGTACGATGAATGCGCAATTTAGCCCTACTAGAACGAGTTGTCCCACCTGGAAGCTGTCCGTTGCGTCTTTGATTATTCCTACGGACACCAATAATAAATTAGCCGATAGAGTGTTGTTTTTTTTTAAGCTACAGTTTTAATTGATTTTTCGGGCTCGATTAAGCGCTGAGATAAGTTTGTTTTTATTACCGACTAGTGGCCCAATAACGATCATAATAATTCCACTAATCAGAGCGAAAATTCCGTAGCAAGCCGCGTACATTTCGACGGGGTGTTTTTCCACGACTACCAGCGGCTGCGGGACTATCAAAAATGTCCTTACAATTCCCATTGCCGCTGTGCAGATGTATATCCCCATTAATGTGCTCTCGAAGTAGAGGTAAGCTGAAAAATAGATAATTAGTACCTGAAATCCTCAACTAGTTTGCTGATAATTTAAAGTGAAGCTGGTACCGAATCTGGCGAAGCCCATCACAATCATCGCTCCGAAGAAAACAAATCTAGCCCGACAATTTACTACCATAGTGAAGAGCAGGTAGAAAATCCTTGAGCCCAATTCTGCAGCAGCGGTTATGCTTATCGTACCAGCGGTTTCTGTGTTTGTGTACCCATCTTCCAGCATCGCTAGAGGAACTAGAGAAACGAATGTCGAGTCGGCTACAAAGACAAACGAAATTCCTAGGGTCATTATCATGAACCTCCTGTCTTTCAGAAGCGATAAGTCGAACAAGTCCGACAACTTGTGCCTGCAATAAAAAATTTCTCAATTTTTTTTTTTAACTAAAATTATCAACTAAAATATTTACCATAAAGAGGAGTCTTCTTGGCTGGTTACAGACTTCCTTTTAATGACAATTTTCTTCCCTTCAATTTTTTCATTACTATCCTCAGAATTGAGAGAAAGAAGAGGCTCCTGAAAGGGACTGTCTTTGACGCTGCCTTTCAATTTTCGTCTCTCCTCCAGAACTTCTTTTGGATCTCTCAAGTGCCACTCCACCGGGTGCAACAACATCATCCCCGGGATTGTGTTCAGGCTGAGAGCAGCAATCAACGACACCATTCCTTTTAATTCACGCACCTTCGATCATTTCATTTTGAGTTTGAGAAAAAAGGAAATTATGTTGAGTTACTCACCTCGAAATCCGTAAATTTCCATCAGCGCATCGATTATCATCGGATATACTATTCCTCCTATGCCGATCAGTACTTGGGTCCCACTTACTACCTTTATTAGAAATCAATGTTCTTTCATTTTTATGTTAAATGTTAATTTTTCAGGTTTTGATGATTTAATCGAAATTTAATTATAAAATTTATAAATTAAAAATAAAGGCCATTCGGCAGCCAAAATGGAAGCAAATTTCATGATGAATAAAAAAACACTACTAGGGTTGCATCCCGAGAAAAAATGTTTGTATATAATCATATATAATTGTATATAATCATATATGCTTTATATATAATCATACATGATTATATATGGAATTGTATATGAGGTTATATATAATCATATATAATTAAATTATATATGACTATATATAGAGCAATATACAGCCAAGCAAGATTATATATAGTTATATATAATCATACATGATTATATATGGAATTGTATATGAGGTCATATATAATCATATATAATTATATATGACTATATATAGATCAATATACAGCTAAGCAAGATTATATATAATTATATATAATCATACATGATTATGTATGGAATTGTATATGAGGTCATATATAATCATATATAATTATATATGCTTATGTATAATTAACATACATAAAAATTTTTTCTTAAAAAAAAAAATTTTTTTTTGGTAATCACAAAAAGTATAAAATGATGTTTATAATTACGTTTAAATAATTCTGAAATACAAAATTTGTCTCATTTTCGATGAGATATTTGTCTGCTCTGCTACGACCTAATAGTAAAATCATTATTTATTTTATTATTTAAATAAGTGTTATATTATAATGAAATTCGGTAAAATAAATAAATTATGAATTATGACTATCCAAATATAATATAAAATCAATTTTTATATTATATTTATGATAAACTCATATGATACATTAAGTAGATCATAGAATCATTATTGTCTAAGACAGCAGCACAGCAGACAGAAACTTCAAGACGCACGGACATCACTAAAGTTAAGCAGCATTGAGCAGGGTTAATAGTTGGATGGGTGACCGCTGGTGTTATAGCCATAAAATTAGATCTAGATATTTTTTTTGCATTTTGATTGGTTATACAGAGTTGCATCCATATTAAATAATCTATCCATAAAATTAACCCAATAATTAATTAAATGTAATAAATATATAATTAAATATTGTTATATATAATCATATATAGTTATATATAATCATACATGATTATAAATGGAATTGTATATGAGGTCATATATAATAATCATATATAATTATATATGACTATATAGGGAGCAATATACAGCTATGCAAGATTGTACATAGTCCCATATATAATTATATATAATTATATACGGGACTATGTACAATCTTGCATAGCAAGATATATATATATATATAGATGGAGTATAATGCTCCATATATAGTCATATATGATTATATATGACCTCATATACAATTCCACATAATCATGTATGATTATATATAATTATATATAATCATACATCATTATATATGTAATTGTGTATGAGGTTATATATAATCATATATAATATATAATTATATATGACTATATAGGGAGCAATATACAGCTATGCAAGATTGTACATAGTCCCATATATAATTATATATAATTATACATAATTATATATAATTAGATATGATTATATTTGGCCATTTTCATATATAATCATATATAACCAATTTATATATAAATATATATAATTATATATAAATACTTTTTCTCGGGGCATTTCCTGACAATTTGAGCGTAAAGGATTTATTTGATTTTTATAGAATTTTTTAACAGGAGTTTTGTTCGGCTAAATTTTGAAATTTTTAAATTCCAGCAAAAATGGCCGAACGAAACTCCTGATAAAAAATTCTATTAAAATCAAATAAATCCTTTACGCCCAAAATTTGTCAGAAAATGCCCAAACACAACTCCTGTTAAAAGCGGAACTCAAAATTCCAATTTTAAGAGGTCCATCAAGGAAGTTACATTTTGGCACACCCTAGTATATATAAATACATACATAAACTTTTGAACCATATGAATTTTCTGAATCCGCTTGACGAGCTGAGTCAAAATATAGCAAAATTTTTCAAAAGTTCCGTCATGAGGACTAATGCAATAGTTAGATTTCCATGAAATCTACTAAAAACACCGAAATTTTTTGAAATATTTAGAGTAAAAAAAAATCATAGCACATATCGCGCTACTAATGCCAAAAGGGCATATTTCAAAATATACGACTTTTTGGTCTTGCAGAACCTTGGGGATGTAAAAAAGTACAAATCTGATTGAAAAACGCAGAAAACAATTTTATTTTTGACATATGCACAAAAGGGGATTTATGAAAAAATAGTCAAAATAGCTTCTAAGAACCTTAAAACGTTGAGATCTCATGAAAAATTTATTTTTGGAAATTAAACTGAAAACTCTATCGTAACTCATATTTTTGAAATTTTTATTTTTTTTAATAAGAAGTTAAAAAATTTTTTGAATGGATTTCCACAAAGTATGATGAAAAACTGAAAATTTCAGTTTGGGATGTGTTGTTGTTTGCAATCTAACTTCCAAAACTCAATTTTTCATAAGTCTGGACGTTTTGAGGCCCTCAGAAGCTATTTTTTCATAAACATCCTTTTGGTTTAAAAATTTTTTTTTCTTAAAGCAAAAAGGGCTTATGTCAAAAAAGTTTTTTGCGTTTTTTACCCAGATTATTACTTTTTTACATTCCCAAGCTGATTGGAAAAAAAAAATTTTTTTTATACCCCCTTTTGGTTCTGCAAGACCACAAGGGTGCATATTTTGAAATACGCCCTTTTTGCATTTGTAACGCAATATATCTTAAGATTTATATAAATGACAAATATCATTTTTTACTTATTATTTAAAATAATAAATTTTATCTTAAAAAATGTCAAATAAATATATAATATTTATATAAATACAATTAAAACTAAAAATAGATATTTAGGTATATTAACTTCTTGATGATTGTTCAAATAATCAGCTATATGTTTTTAGTTTTTAGTTTGAGGTTACGTTTAATTTCAAACGCGAAAAGCAACAATAAAAAAAAATTGATATTTTTTTGAGAATTTAAATAAAAAAATTATCGTTTTTTTTAGAGTTTAATTAATGAAAAGATTATTTTAAATAATAAATAAAAATAACATTGAATAAATTTTTTAATTAAAAAAAAATCTTAACCTCTGTAATTTTCTTCACTCACATAAAATTTACTAAAATTAAATTTCTTATCGTTTAATTATCCTTAAATTTTATCGACATGTACAAAAAAAAGTCCATTAATAATTAAACTAACTAGTAAGTTAACATTCTTATCTGTAAGGTCACAAGCGCTATCATAAATCCAGTTTGTATTAAAATTTTCTCAATGATTTGCTCGCAAATCATTGACTATTAAGTGTTCAGGATATCTAGACGGCATTGAAAGATAAAATTTTAAAATTAACTTCATTAGAGCTGATAAAATTTATAAAATTAACACTTTGTAAATATTTCATAAAGAGTAATCTGTTAATTATTATTATTAAAAAGATTCTTTCTAATCAAATAAATAAAATCATTGTTACGCTGTCAGTACACAAAGTAAGATGAATCACGCGCGATCATACATACAATTTACAGACTATTAATTCTGACCTAGTGTCCTAATTTTTCGTGAGTAACTTCTCCTTCCGAAGCTATTACTTTTAAAATAAACTCATCATTCAATTGCATACAATGATTTTATTCGTAAAGTCCAAACATAAAAAATGAATTTCTTCTTCTGAAGAAGAAATAAGCTTGAACTTTAAGAAAATTTAATGATATATTTTAGGATATATATTTTCCAACAACAATGCGAAGCTCATAAAAATTTTCAAAGTACCTTGGCCCGATTCTTGATAAAATACGCGTTGAGATTTGCACTGAGGATAGTGTCCATCAATCCAGCACCAGTTCCTTGGATGAAGAAAATAATTCCCAGCTGATAAACATGTGTTGCGAACGCACAAGACAAATTAGGAAGCACACAGAGAAGGGCCGCGGAAACGCTGACCAATCTTAAGGAATATTTCTTCAGCAGCGCGTTGGTCATAACACCTAAAAAAAAAACATCAGGTGCATTTTCTCAATAAATTCCAAAGATAAGGTTTAAATTAAATAACTGGGGGAGGAAAAAATGTCAACCTGCCAGGGAAAAACTTATCATATAAACGGAAGTTAGGATCGTCATCGCGGATCCTGACTGGCCTGTCGCCTCGAAGAAATCTCCGAAGACTATCGAGAAGGAATTCCCCGGGACGAACGCCGTCACCTGTAATTAATTATTTAATGACACACCTAGCTGCTTAACATTTAACATAATTATAATAACTGGTAGCAATCCGCTCTTGCAAAAAATCCTTATCAATTTATCAACCGGTCTAGATAATTATCTTAAATTATCTCTTGCATTAAATATCGACGGATCGCCTTCGACAGCCGACGAACCGGTGAATTTTAAAAGTCAACAATAAATAGTTGGTGCGTACTTACGTAAACAATAATCATAGCGAGGGCGCTCATCCACCCCCATCCGCCATCCGGCGCCAAATCTTCCAGCGTAAGTTCTTCATTTTGGTCACTAAAATAATTAGTTACTTCTTTGGAAGTAATCTTTGAGTTTTTTCGGTCCTCGGCACTCGGTTTATCACAGTCACTCATTGTTAACAACAAACTGACACTTTTAGCGGTGATTTAATGCCGGCTTGGAGATAATTAAATGCTCGTGGAAATTTAAAGACAACAACTGTGATAAGAAGATAAATTCAGCCGCTACTCGGATGTAGAGATCGCCATTGACTGAGACATTGATACTATCCTTGAAAATGCGACATTGGCACGGCCACAGATGTCATCATATCAAACGCGCGTTGGTGCGATAATTATTGAGGGGAATCGTAAATATTATAAGCACTAAAATTAATCCGTTTTTTAAATTTAACAATAAATTTTAAAAGCTTTGATAATTATAATACTATCAATATTTATAACTAGCATGCATGACTGGATGAATTTAACGCTTCTAGCTTGGTCTTATTTGAAATTCATAGTAGTATGAATTCATTATTCTTGTTATCTTTTTATTAAAGCTGACTTTGTAACACTTTATTGCGGTTTTCATTGTACTCGTTGACAAAGTTAATTGGTTAATTAATTAATTAATTGTGTAGTTAGATAATAGAAAAATTAAATTGTTGCTTTTTTTAATTTGGTAAATTTGTTTGTATAGCAACTGGAGGTTAAATTTTGCCACGTGGAAGTACGATAATTGTGCCGCCATACCAGATTCACCGTCTAGAGGAGTATTTTCCAGACCCAGAAGTGTTTAACCCAGACAGATTTTTACCTGAACATACTCAAAATCGGCATTACTATGCCTACGTACCTTTCAGTGCTGGCCCAAGGTAATTTTCATCCATTTTTCACGGTTAAGTGGTTCAATCTAGTTAAAGATGGAAGTATTTGAATAAACTAACCTAATAAACTGAATAATTGCAGGTCATGCGTCGGAAGAAAGTACGCGATGTTGAAATTAAAAGTTTTAATATTAACAATAATCCAAAATTACCGGATCCACTCGAATTTGACGGAGAAAGATTTCAAACGGCAATTAGACGTAATACTGAAGCGGACAGATGGCTTCAAAATTGAAATTGAGCCGAGAAATAAGTCGACCGCAACTGCATAATTATAACGCACTCATACTTTCATTCACTGTTCACTATTGCAATACAGCCCATGTACTACTACTCATAGGATATTTTTAAATAAAAATAAAGACCAAAGAAAATATTACAAAAATTATCAACTATTTTAATGTGCATCCGATTAAGCTATCACGTGATTGTCGGCATTTATGTTGCCGGTAGTATTAACAACTCTGTTTCTTCTTTTCTGCCGAAAGTCCACCAGAAACTCCAACGCCCAGGGTACGATGAATGCGCAATTTAGCCCTACTAGAACGAGTTGTGCCACCTCGAAGCTGTTCGTTACGTCTTTGATTATTCCTACGGACACCAATAATAAATTAGCCGATAGAGTGTTGTTTTTTTGTAAGCTACAGTTTTAATTGATTTTTCGGGCTCGATTAAGAGCTGAGATAAGTTTGTTTTTATTACCGACTAGTGGCCCAATAACGACCATAACAATTCCATTGACTAGAGTGAAAATTCCATAGCAAGCCGCGTACATTTCAACGGGGTAATTTTCTACAACTACCAGCGGCTGCGGGACCATCATAAATGTCCTGACGATTCCTATTCCCGCTGTGCAGATGTATATCCCCATTAATGTGTTGCCGAAGTAGAGAAAAGCTGTAAAATAGATAATCAGTACCTGAAATCCTAAACTAGTTCCCTGACAATTTAAAGTGAACTTGGTACCTAATTTGGCGAAGCCCATCACGATCATCGCAAAGAAGAAAACAAATTTAGCCCGACAATTTACAATTAGAGTGAAGATCAAGTACAAAATTCTTGAAGCCAGTTCTGCAGCTGCGGCTACTGTTATTGTAACAGCAGCTTGAGAGTTTGTGTATCCATCATGCATCATCGCCAGAGGAACCAGCGAAATGAATGTAAAGTCACTTACGAAGACAAACGAAATTCCCAAGCTCATTATCACGAAGGTCCGGTCTTTTAGAAGCGACAGTTCAAACAAATCAGATAATTGTTGCCTGTAAATATTTAAAAATTTTACAATTCCTTGAACTTCTTCAAGTTTCAATCAAGCATCAATGCATACCAAAAGTCAGATTCTTCTTTCTGACTTATAATCGACTTTCTCTTGATGACCAAATTTTTATTTTCATCGTGATGATCACTCTTGTTATGACCATTAATACTATCACCAATAGGTGTGTTTAATTCCTTTAGTTCATCAAGCGAAGCTTTAGTGGTCAAATCCCGTCGATGCTGGGCTTCTACCAAGGCCCCGGTGATGTTTCCGATGCTGGAAGCCGGCAACAAGGACAGACTCCTCGCTAGCTGCATCTTCATCGAAATCGACTTGGACCTAGGTCTCATGTCGGGGTCCAGGTCCATACTGATTGCTTCTACTGTCTGAAAGAAGAAATGTTCCGAATAGTAGAAATAGATAAAATGTTTATTAGGGTAGAAGTACCGCTTTTCGCCACCTTAGCACTAGGTTTTTGGCCAGTCAACATTTGAATTAATTTATAAAAAATGATAATATTATAACCATATCTTTGTTGAGTTTTAAAAAATTTATTATATTAAAACAAATTGAGTTTGTAATGGTCTATTAATATAAATTAATTATTCTACCTAATATTACTTTAATGCCCAGGTAGGGTTAACCAATGCTGACAAATGGCCCAGCCTTGGACCATTTGTTACTTTGCCAAGCCTTGATAAGTTACCAGTGGCCCAGGCCTGGCCCGAGGCTTGGCCCAATAGTTCGACATTCTCAAGCCGAGCCTTGGGGTGCACCACTGGCCTAAGCCTGGCCCGAGGCTTGGCCCAATGGTTCAATATTTTGGAACCAAGCTTTGGGAGATCACAACTGGCCGAGGCCTGGTCCGATGCTTGGCCCAATGTCTCGATACATTTCAACCAAGCCTTGAAAAATCACCACGGACTTAAACCCGGTTCGATACTTGGCCCAATGCTTCGAACACTGATAGAAGAATTTAATAGAATTTAATAAATGACTTGTCAACAAAAAAATTTTAATAAATATAGTTATTAATCGTTGATAAATTATTTTCAACTATTATTTCTTTGTTGCTGAAAAATGTATAAAACTCTCGAAACTGCTCAAAATTATGATCATGTATTTATTTTTGGTAATAGAAAATTTAATTATTTCGTTAAAATCAAATGAATTAAAAAAAAATATATTTCATAACGGCATAATAATTATGTCAACAAATTATATTATCTGAACTAAACAAAATTTTTAGCAGTTATAAGTTCAATTTTAATTATGGAATATCATGTAATAAAGCAAAATGACTGAGTGATGTTTAAGTAACTAAAACTAATCTGTAAGTGTTACTACGAAGTGCAGCGAAGTCAGTACAGTTCGAGTCTTTCACGCGGGTGACCCAGGTTCGATTCCCATCGTGAGCAAAGATTTTTTCAAGGTAATCTGGTGTAATCGCGAGATACGATAACATAAAGCTGATAATAAACCGTAAAATCACGAATAAAATTAAAATCAAATTTAATTTTTTAATAATGTTTGCATTTTTTTTAGTCCTGGCAAATTAGTTCCCCAAGGCTTGGTCCGAGCCTTGGGCCATTTGTTTCCCAAGACTCGGCCCAAGCCTTGTGTTTTGGTTTCCCAAGGCTTGGGGACATAGTTATCATCCTAGGCTTGGACCGAGCCTTGGCCCAATGTTTAGCCAAGGCTCGTGCCAAGCCTTACCCAAGGCTGGTGACGCTTGGCCCAGGCTTGGTCCAAGCCTTGTTCAGTTGTTCTTTCCTACCTGGGATGCTGATAAAAAAATTGATTAAAAAGAAGAAAATTATTTTGAAAAATTTGATTTATTTGAATCAAGAAAAAAAAATTTTAAGTAAAAAATTGTTTTTGGCTTAAATAAATTATAGTTTATTATAGAATTTTTTTGTTTGATCCAAGATAATTAAATTTTTTTAAATTATTATTTTTAATAATTAAATGTGTGATTATCTATTCAATTTAGATAGTGGAAGTTATATTTCTTCCGGTTATTTTAGTTTAATCTGATAAAATTTAGGGGAGGGGGGGGGGCAAAATGGGGTACCCCCAAAATTTCGTAAAAAAAATTTTTTTTTCCAAAAAGCTCTTTTAGCTTTCTAAAATATATTTTAACGGCATTTCCTACAATTTCAGAGGAAAAAAAATTTTTTAATTAAAAAACAAAAAAATTTTTTTTTTTTATTTTTTTTACATACAGTAAAGAAATTTTCGGCAAATTTAACACAAATATTTGTGTTACTGACTGTTTTTACACAAACTAATGTTAATTTTACATTCTAGTGGGTTAAATCAACACATGAGAATGTAAAATTCTACACACTAGAGTGTAATTTGCTACACAAAAATTTTTACACTTTGAACATTGACGAAAAATTTTTTACTGTGCAGTAATTTTTATCGTCATTGTGCATCATAATAATTTTTTTTTT